ACCCCCCCCCCCCCCCCCCCCCCCCCCCCCCCCCCCCCCCCCCCCCCCCCCCCCCCCCCAGCAGTTTAACTAAAGCAGGATAACTAAAGCAGCAAGAACATACAACAAAGAACTCTACTGCACTCTGGAAGGACTGTAAGCAAAACACCCTGGAAAACATCTCCTAAAAGTATGATTCCCACTCCATCTACCTTTTAATATGTCCCTTCTATTCCTCCTTTTCAGAATACTATCATCTGTTCTCAAAATCTAATTTCTTTACCCCTCTGCTTTACCCCAAAGCTTATACAGATCACCCTCACTTCTACCATCTCCCTACTACTGCTCTCATCACCTCCTGCTGATACTTAACTCACCTGCTGACCCAAACACCAGGGCAGGAAGGCATATGCACTCATATACATCCCGCTGCCATCTTACTTTCCTCACCCTCTTCTCCTAACCTCTCGGGATATCTGCTTGAACCCTGGTTCTCCAGTATCTCACCCCCACACCAGGCACCCTCCTTCCTCCAGGAATAGCAGCAATCCACTCAATTTAATCTTAATTCCCATGCTCCTAAACCACTCTCCCTTTTTCATATGCACTCTGGAATGCCCGCTCTGTCTGTAATAAGCTCACCTCTGTTCATGACCTTTTTGTCTCCCTTTCCCTTAACCTACTAGCAATTACAAAAACATGGCTTTAAGCTTCAGATTGTGCTTCTCCAGCAGCACTTTCCTATGGAGGCCTTCACTGGAGTCACCCAGATCCAGTGGTCGAAAAGGAGGTGGAGTTGGTTTGCTTCTGTCCCCACTGAGCACCTTTCAAGTCCTCCCTACCCTCCCCCTCTTTATCCTTCTCTTCTTTTGAGACTCACTGCATTTGGCTGTTTCCTCCCATTTCTCTGAAGATCGCAGTGATCTATCGTCCTCCTGGACCAGTGTCACGCTTTCTCGATGACTTCTCTGCCTGACTACCCTACTTTCTCTCCTCTGAAATACCCACTATCATTCTTGGAGATTTTAACATCTCCATTAATGTGAACAACCCAGCTACATCCCAACTCTTCAACCTAACCTCATCTATTGCCATAACACAATGGACACTCACTCTGATGGGAATACATTAAACCTTGTTTTCTCCCATCTTTGCACTCCCTACAACCTCACAAACACCCCCTTTCCTCTCGCTGATCACAATCTCATCACCTTCACAGTGTCCTCATCCATACAGGCAGCAAACAATTACCCACAGAAACCTTCACAACTTTAACCCTTCTCTTTTCTATTCTGCAAAGACCACCTCTATGACAGACTCTCCCCTGTCCTGCCCTGACCTGGCCACTTCTGTCTACAACAGTTCACTTTCATCCACACTAGGCTCACTTGCTCCCCTAACTACATGAAGTATCAGGCCCTGACCATTATAACCTTGGCAGACTGACGACACCAGAAATCTTAAGAGACATAGTTGTGCACTGGAGCGATTGTGGCGTAAAACCAAATCCCAGCAAGCATTCACCTTATATAAATCTCCTTTTTTAAAACACAATTCCTCCCTTCATGCTGCCAAACAAGCCTAACAAGTCACTGTTATTAATAACGTTTCATCCAGTCCTCGTTGTCTCTTCTCTACTTTTAACTCTCTGCTTTCTCCACCTCCACCCAGTAACTCACTCACTGCTTACGAGATTGCCGATCATTTCAAAAACAAGATTGATGCAATTTGTAAGGGCATCTCCACTACACAGACATTTATCCCACTTAGCATATGTTATACTAAACCTCCCACAACATTTTCCTCTTTTGATCTAGCTACAACTGAAGAGGTCACTTAAGTTTTCTCAGAAGCCCATCTCACCACCTCCTCCCCTGATCCTGTTCCTTCACAACTACTATGATCACCCTCTTCTTCTATCCTTTGCTCCCTCACTCACATCTTCAATCTCTCCCTCTCTACTGGCACCTTCCCCTCCCCTCTAAAGCATGCAAAGATCACTCCCATACTAAAAAAGCCCTCACCGGACCCCACCAACCTGAACCAACTTAAGACCCATCTCCCTGCTCCCGTTTACCTCTAAACTCTTAGAACGCTTAGTCTACAATCGTATGAGCTCCTACCTCACTGACAACAACCTTCTTGACCCTTTACAGTCTGCATTTCGCTCACTCCACTCCACTGAAACTGCCATACTAAAACTCACTAACTGCTAAAACCAATTGCCACTACTCCATACTCTTGCTACTTGACTTCTCTGCGGCTTTTGATACTGTTGACCATCCCCTCCTCCTCAAAAAACTCCACTCTCTTGGTCTCCGAGACTCTGCTCTCCCCTGGTTCTCCTACTACCTATCGCAGCTCTCCTTCAGTGTTACCTATAACTCTGTCTCCTCCTCTCCACATCCTATTTCTGTAGGGGGTCCCTCAAGGTTCTGTCCTTGGACCCCTTCTCTTCTCCATCAGCACCTCTTCCCTTGGTCACTTGATAAACTCCCATGCCTTTAAGTACTAGCTTTATGCTGATAACACACAAATGTATCTTTCTACTCCTCATTTCACCCCTTAAGTCTCCTCTCACATTACTAACCTACTAAGTGACATACAGTGAAGGAAATAAGTATTTGATCCCCTGCTGATTTTGAATGTTTGCCCACTCACAAAGAAATGATCAGTCTAAAAGTTGAATGGTAAGTGTATTGTAACACTAAGAGACAGAATAGCAACAAAAAATTCAAAAGAAATGCATGTCTAACAAATTATGCACTGATTTGCATGTTCATGAGGGAAATAAGTATTTGATCCCCTTCACAAAACATGACTTAGTACTTGGTGGCAATTCCCTTGTTGGCAATCACAGAGGTCAGACGTTTCCTGTAGTTGGCCACCAGGTTTGCACACATCTCAAGAGGGATTTTGGCCCACTCCTCTTGGCAGATCCTCTCCAAGTCATTAAGGTTTGGTGGCTGACATTTGGCAACTCGAACTTTCAGCTCCCTCTACAGATTTTCAATCGGATTAAGGTCTGGAGACTGGCTAGGCCACTCCAGGACCTTAATGTGCTTATCCTTGAGCCACTCCTTTGTTGCCTTGGCCGTGTGTTTTGGGTCATTGTCATGCTGGAACACCCATCCACAACCCATTTTCAATGCCCTGGATGAGGGAAGAAGGTTCTCACCCAAGATTTGATGGTATATTGCCCCGTCCATTGTCCCTTTGATGCGGTGCAGTTGTCCTCTCCCCTTAACAAAAAACACCCCCAAAGCGGAATGTTTCCACCACCAAGTTTGACAGTTGGGATGGTGTTCTTGGGGTCATAGGCAGCATTCCTCCTCCTCCAAACATGGCGAGTTGAGTTGATGCTAAAGAGCTCGATTTTGGTCTCATCTGACCACAACACTTTCAACCAGTCCTCCTCTGCATCATTCAGATGTTCAGTGGCAAACTTCAGACAGGCCTGGACATGTGCTTTCTTGAGCAGAGGGACCTTGCGGGTTTGTCTTGCTTTCAACAAGCTAGGAATAACAGACTCAGAGACCCTTCTATCTTTTAAAACCTGGGGTTCAACAGTCCTGCTGTTAAAGCCAGAGACTGTGGAACAGGATGCAATAGAGGGCCCTGAGACTGCAGGTTTGGCCTGTTGGGAAGTAGCCATGGGTCATCTGCTAGGAGTCAGAGTATGTCTGTGTACCAGATTCTTTTTGGCCAGTTTGGTGCAATAAGAATTACCACCTTCCTTTCTGGCTTTACCTTTCTGAGCAGACATAGCTGAATTCACACTGGAAGGAAATCTTATATTAGCCTGAACAGAGACCTGGTAATTATTAAGACATTCAAGAGCAGTGCTAGAGGAGCCTCAGTCTTGGCCACAAACAGAGGTAGTTTGCTGAATCTGGAGGTTAAGATGTCATCCCAGTAGAAGATGTTGGTGGTAAAGGGTCTATTCCCTTTGATCCAGGCAGGGGCAAGCTGAGGTAGTCTGCTTTCCAGCAGTTGAGTCCTGGGATGTGGACTGCAGAGATCACTGGACAGTGATTTTCTGTCCATGAGAATAGATAGCTTGCTTTTTACAAGGCTGCATGACTCCTGGTGCCCCTTTTTGAATAATGTAAGTCACAGCTGTGGTATTGTTTGACTGCACCCTGACTAGGTGTCCTCAGAAAAGGAGGGTCTAGTATTGCAGTATTTGCAAGCTGCTTATTTTTACACTTGTAGGAAGCGCTGACTTTATATATTTTGGTATATGTTCACTTTATCTTAGAGAGGCAATTACTGACCTAGCAGATTCCATCCAATATTTTTGAATTTGAAGGTATTTTAAATTTAGAATAGGATGAAAATCCCTGTTGGGCTTTGTTACCCAGAACAGGTTTGAATAAAATCCTTTTTTTTGGGATTGAAGTGAATATAATTCAAATATAGCCCCGATCTTTTACAGTCAGAATACAGGGTGACTGTGCCTTACCTATCCCTGATGCTGGACTGTATATGTAGTCCAGGATTCACCTGTTACACTGGGCTTGCCCCAGAAGGGGTCTTCAGGGAGTGGGTTCCATACGGATGGACCACAGTGCTGGACTTGTATAGCACCCTGCAGCTGACTACACGTCACACTAAGTGCTAAGTGCAAAGTGCAGGATCCAGTGCCCAAAGCAATATAACAGGCTATCCCCACAGTATGGGTATGGGCACAGCTTCCAAAGTTTTAGTGAGGTTGCGCTGATCTGGGTGCACTGCTTCTATCTGTGGAATTAGAAGACAGGGAGGAAATTGATTGAAAAATCTGAAGATAAAAAAATTAAGGAAAATAATAAAACTACCGTATTTTTTGATCCATAAGTCGCATTTTTTTTCCCCCCCCAAAAAAGGGGGGAAAATGTCAGTGCATCTTATGGAGCGAAAATAAAGCGGCCGGTCCGGTATTTCCGCCACCACTATGTCAGAATACCGGCTGGCCGCCCAGCTGTTCTCTGATGCAGGACCTTACCTGTTCCTTGGTCCAGCGCTACACAGTATTCCCGCGCCGGCATCTGTGACAGCCAGGTACCCACTGCGCATGCGTGAGAAGCGCTGCGCTTTGTGAATAGACCAGCGTCTTCTGGGACACATGACATAAATTGCAGCGCTTCTGGCGCATGCGCAGTAAAGGGAGGACAACTCCACGGAAGTGGGAGCGGGTACCTGTTAAATTCAGGTACCCGCTCCCCCTCTCTCCCTAAGGTCCGCAGTCTCTGGTCATCCCCTATACTGTCTGCAGTCTCTGGTCATCCCCTATACTGTGTGCAGTCTCTGGTCATCCCCTATACTGTCTGCAGTCTCTGGTCATCCCCTGTACTATGTCCGCAGTCTCTGGTCATCTCCTGTACTGTGTCCGCAGTCTCTGGTCATCCCCTGTACTGTGTTTCCACAGTCTCTGGTCATCCCTTGTACTGTGTCCACAGTCTCTGGTCATCCCCTGTACTGTGTCCGCAGTCTCTGGTCATCCCCTGTACTGTGTTCGCAGGCTCTGGTCATCCCCTGTACTGTGTCTGCAGGCTCTGGTCATCCCCTGTACTACGTCTGCAGTCTCTGGTCATCTCCTGTACCGTGTCCGCAATCTATGGTCATCTCCTGTACCATGTCCGCAGTCTCTGATCATCTCCTGTACTATGTCCGCAGTCTCTGGTCATTTCCTGTACTATGTCTGCAGTCCATTGGTTCAGAATATTTTTTTTCTTGTTTTTCTCCTCTATAACCTAGGTGCGTCTTATGGTCAGGTGCGTCTTATGGAGCGAAAAATACGGTAGTTAAGCTAAGAGTGATTCTCTGTGAAGAAGAGGACCATCACTTTAGGACCCTAGCACAAAACTGAGGACTCACAGGGTGGAACACGGTTATAGCGGAGTCGCACAGTAGGTGGGTCTATAATTACTTTGCCTATGTCCTGTATTGTATGAAAAAAAGAGAATCCAATTTCCTCCCAAGGTTCACTCAGAGGCACAGCTGAACTTTGAGAAAAGAAAAAGTGTGTGAGGTTAGGGTATGCAAACAAGCAACCTTTAAAAGGTCATGGCCTGGCTGACTCACACCTCGGCCTGTAAAACCTTTCATCCAAAGCTGGTATCAGCTCATGTTACGATAAAACTTTGCAAGCTCAAAGCCTGGCAGCAGTCTTTCATATATTTGAGACAGATGCCTGATGCTGAAAGGCCCAGGATGCACCAAGCACTCTTGCGGAATGAGAGGTGACAAGTCATGGGGACTTGAGTTCAACATTCAATAGTACAAAGTGACATTGGGGAACCCTTGCATAAATCCACTGGAAAGACAAAGAGAGAGGGAACACCAGCTACACAACATTTGGGGAATATAGTGTAATCTTCTTAGGATGAGATGGCAATGGTAAAAAGCAGAGCGCTGCCCTAACTAAAATGGAAAGACAATACTACCTTCCAAGGAGACTGATGAAGAGGGGGTTTCCCCTTGAAACGGATCAGCCATACTGGATCTGAGTGATTTCTTTCCATGTTGTTGAATAAGTGCTGCAGTTTTGGCATTTGTGGCTTTGAACATTCTAATACGCTTGTTAGCTCATTTCGTTTGTGAGTATAATATTTGCCTTTATGAATCAATAAATGGTGTATGAAGGTAATATGATAGGCTGGTGTTCCCTTTTTTTTTTTTAGTGCTAAGAGTAAGTGCCCCTGGGGTTACAGGGAGCTTGACAGGTGGAAACGTACAGTTGTGTTCAAAATAATAGCAGTCAGACATCACTAACCTGATCAATCACTGTTTTTGGTAGAAATTATATTTCTACATGGCAAATAATTTACTAGCAGGTGTAGTAGAGTAATAGAAATCCAACAGACCCAACAGCTATGACATGCATGCTGCTGATTCTGTGTAATTGAATCACTAATTGAAAAGGGCATGTTCAAAATAATAGCAGTGTGGAGTTCTATTAGTGAGGTCATTCATTCTTTAAAAAACAGGTGGCAATTGTTGCCCTTATTTAAGGAAGGAAGGCAGCAAATGTTGTACATGCTGGTTACAGTGCATTTCTCTCTGAAATTCTGAGGAAAATGGGTCGTTCCAGACATTGTTCAGAAGAACAGCGTACCTTGATTAAAAAGTTGATTGGAGAGGGGAAAACATATAAAGAAGTGCAAAAAATGATAGGCTGCTCAGCTAAAATGATCGCAAATGCTTTGAAATGGCAACCAAAACCTGAAAGACGTGGAAGAAAGAGAAAAACTACCATTCGAATAGATAGAAGAATAGCCAAAATGGCAAGGACTCAGCCAACAATCAGCTCCAGGAAGATCAAAGAAGGTCTAACGTTACCTGTGAGTTCTGTTACAATTAGAAGACGCCTATGTGAAGCCAAGCTATCTGCAAGAAGCCCCCGCAAAGTCCCACTGTTGAAAAAAAGACGTGCTGAAGAGGTTACAATTTGCCAAAGAGCACATTGACTGGCCTAAAGGGAAATGGCGCATCATTTTGTGGACTGATGAAAGTAAGATTGTTCTTTTTGGGTCTAGTGGCTGGAGACAGTTTGTCAGACGACCCCCAAACACTGAATTCAAGCCACAGTACACTGTGAAGACAGTCAAGCATGGTGGTGCAAGCATCATGATATGGGGATGTTTCTCATACTACGGTTTTGGGCCTATTTATCGCATACCAGGGATCATAAATCAGTTTGAATAAATCAGAATACTTGAAGAGGTCATGCTGCCTTATGCTGAAGAGGAAATGCCCTTGAAATGGGTGTTCCAACGAGGAAACGATACCAAACACACCAGTAAACGTGCAACATCTTGGTTCCAGACCAACAAGATTGACGTTATGGAGTGACCAGCCCAATCCCCGGATCTTAATCCAATAGAAAACTTGTGGGGTGACATCAAAAATGCAGTTTCTGAGACAAAACCAAGAAATAGAGAAGAACTGTGGAATGTAGTCCAATCATCCTGGGCTGGAATACCTGTTCACAGGTGCCAGAAGTTGGTTGACTCCATGCAACACAGATGTACAGCAGTTCTCAGAAACAGTGCTTATACAACTAAATATTAATTAAGTGATTCAAAGGAAAGCAAAATCTTCAAACATTTTTCAGTTTATATAGTGAATGTTTGAGTTTGTAAAGAAGAATACAAACACTGCTATTTTTTTGAACAGTCTAATACTCACTTTTCTTAAATGTTTTTAGAGGCACAACGCAAGTTTTGATATATTTTTCTTCATGTTTTGATTTGGAATAGAATGTGTAGTGTTCCCAATGCATTTGTGTGTATGGAAATAAAAGCTATTAGAAAAATGTTGAGCTTTATTCACTTTTTTTCAACACACTGCTACTATTTTGAACACAACTGTAGAGATAAGACCTATAATAGTAATAATAATAATCAGGCTAGGTGTTGATTCATGCCAAACTAGAAAACTGAGAAACCGAGGTAGGGTTGAAGTTGTAGGTTTTGCACCGTTCGGAGAATGACTTCAGGTACAAGGATATGCAAGGTGAGAAGAGGCTTTACAGGCCCAAAGAGCACAGTGATAGATAAGGGCAGAACTGGCTTCACATGTCTAAGGAATAGTACATATTAATAGGCCATATTATCTCAGAAACTAGGCTTCAATAACAATGAGACTGAGAAGTAGGAAGAAATATTGCGATCCAGGATAGGACAGACAGGTGTCTTGAGTTAAATAAAAACCCTAGAAAAGCTAATAGCTACTAAGTAGAGTGAAAGAGATTAGAAAATCAAAAACCTGTAGGGAGGGGGAGATTAGAACTCAATCTGACAAGCAATTCAAACCACCTCCCTCAATCACAACAATCTTCTTTTCACACTATTGTGCACAGATGGCGATAACACTTAATGCTGTAGATTGTTTGTGGACTTGAAAAATTAAATGTGTCTCAATAAAGAAACAGCATATGGCCTTTGAACTCTCCTATTGAGCTCCTATTGAGAGTCAAAGTTTCATCAAAGAGGGGAAAAAAGAGAAAACCTTGTGAGAAGACCTTGGTGTCTGTGTCTGAGGAAGGTGAGTTCCCTTTCCTCCTATGATGTCAGAAAGCTCCAAAGAGCTGATGTTCTGTAAAGAAAAGTCAAACAGACTTCTTGCAGACCAACACTAAGGCCAGGGAACTCTTCTCAATATTCAGTCGCAAAGCTGATGTTGAAGATCAACCATTCTCTGTCCTGCAAGCATCACATAGTTATTTGGCTGTCTGGATTGCCTGAGGAAGGGGGAGGGTTGATTTACTAAAGGCAAATACACTGTGAACTTTTGAAAGTGCAGTTACACTCTGCAGGTGTGTGTTGCATTTGATATAAATATATGTCTGTTTTATGATTTTTTTTTTCTCAGACTTATATGAAAGGATCTGTTTGTTAATTTGTCTTAGAAACAGAAATCAGGTTACTTTTGATTGTTTGAGTGGACTTCTCAAACAAATGCCTTGGTAACAATTACACAAGCTGTGTTCTACAACAATGATAACTTAGATACCATTGTTGTATGCTGGGCTCTTCTATTGATCTACATTTAATTATGTAACTGAAATCAACAAGTTAATCAATGGTTAACAATAGCTTGACCTTCTCACATATATAACCTTTGCAGTTTCTAGACACCTGCTCTTTTCCTGTTTTATAGGAGACTGATCAGAGAGAACTGGAGATGCCAATTACTGTTGAGGAGCTATCTGAAGCTTTGGCAGGCACTCCCAGTAATAAATCTCTGGGTTCAGATGGATTGCCATTCGAAATTTATAATAGATGTGGTGCGCAACTCCTCCCGGCATTGTACAATGTACTGAATGCTGCCATGGATGGAAATGGTTTTACCCCCCTCCATAAATGAAACTGTTATTATATTATTGAAGCCTGGAAATATCTATTAAAACATGACTCCTACTGATCTGTTTCCCTTCTGAATACGGACGCTAAATTGTTGGCCCGGGTTCTAGCTACTAGACTGGCGCAGATTATTGGTAATATCGTACATAAAAAGATCAGTCAGGGTTTATTCCTTCTAGAGCGACGGCTAATAATATTCGCAAGACTTTTTTTGAATTTGCAAATTCCAGTGGACAATCCTGGGGTAAGGGCAATTTTATCTTTGGATGTAGCCAAGGCATTTGATGTGTGTGGAATGGTCTTATCTATGGGAAATATTGTCCAGATTTGACTTTGGTTCCAAGATCATTAGTTGGGTGCTCCTTCTCTATGCAGCCCCTAGTGCCCGCATCTGGGTTAACAGGGATTTGTCAGATTCATTCAGGCCGCAGAGGGGGACGAGGCAGGACTGCCCTCTCTCGCCCTTTTTGTTCGCTATAACCTTTAGCAATTTTGGTG